GAATTTATTAATTAAAAAATTGTGTCTTTATTCCTATATATTTAAACTTCAGTCACCTTCGAAGTACTCTCCGTTTGATGCAATACACCTATCGAGACACATTTTCTACTGCTCAAAACAGTTTTGACATCAATTTTAGTGCTTCTGCTATTTTTTGTTTCACCTCTTCCACATCTGCAAAACGTTTCCCTTTTAGGGTTTTTTTTCATCCAGGAAACCAAAAAAATAGTCGTTTGGAGCAAGATAGGGTGAATAGGGAGAGTGAGGCATGGGGGTCATGGTCAGTTTTGGTAAAAAAAACTGCTAATACTCGGTGTAGTGTGGGCAGGTGTGCTGTTAGCTCACTCATCATGAAATGGGCAAATGTGTTGAAAGAATCTTCCCCCAAAATTCACTGAAGCCAAAGGCAGGCTCTCGCATTAGCTGGTACACTGATGCCGTTGGGTTCCTATGACACTTACCAAAGAGGGGAAGCCTATATTCCTAGGGGCCTGCTTTCCAAAAAATAATTCTGGTTGTTTTGGGGTCCCCTGTCATAAGTCTTGAAATTTTGTCTTCCAAATTTGTTGTTGTTGTTGTTTAGTAAGATTGCTTTAAACATCCTAGATCCTTGACATTTCCTTATAAATTTTATTAGTTTGTCAGTATCTACCCAAAAGAACTACTGTTGCCCAGGTTGGAGTGCAGAGGGACAATCGCACATTACAACCTCGTACTCCTGGACTCAAGTGACCCTCCCACCTCAGCCTCTCGTGTAGCTAGGACTACAGACACACACCACCACACCTGGATAATTTTAAATTTTTTTGTAGAGATGGGGTCTGTGTTGCCAGGCTGGTCTCAAACTCCTGGCCTCAAGTGACCCTTCCACCTCGACCTCTCAAGTGCTGGGATTACAGGCATGAGCCACTACACCTGCCTATGCCTTTTATTTCTCTTTATTGCATTTTGCACAAGATAAACAACAGAATGTTGACTTTTTAAAACACATCATAAAGGGTATTGGATTTTGTCAAATGTATTTTCTGTACCTACATATTTTATTATGTTTCTCTTTTTATTTATTATGCATTTTTTAAAAAAAACGCATGTACTAAAACCCTGCCCAGACAAATCACCAACTCAAATTGAGGAAACAATCTTTGCTATCCTGTACCCACAAGCACCCGCCATTACCATAGCACTAAGTGGCTTTTGTATAAGACCACCTAAGGTTACCACGTGACAGAGATGGGCCCAGATAGAGATCTTTTAACTTCCTGTTCTTTCAGCAGCACCACTGTGCCCTTGAACCAAACAGAAGAATTCTCACAGGTTTTAGGTTTTTCTCTCTTTATTTTTATGGATAAAATACAACATATGTATACTACTTAACAATGAAAGCTGATAGAACAGAAGAATTAATACTAACTTTGAAAATGGGAAGAAAACATAAAACATTGGCTTTTTCTAGTGATTATTAGTTTTAGAAAATAGTTGGAAAATGCCTGAGAGAAAAGATGCCAATTCTAAATTAAGGTGTACGTGTGTATATAAAATTGTTGAAAATGTTTGAAAAAAACATTTAAATTCCACATCACGTTATTTTTATTAAGTGACATATTTATGGAAAACAGTTGAAAACTGCCTGTCAGAGGAACTGTTTAATTCCATAATATGTAGTCTTTTAAGACAAGTAAAACATTTGTGAAGAACAGTTGACACACGCTTGCTAAGAAGCAGTAATATTTTTAAACTCATGTTACTTTTCAGTCAATTGAAATACATGGACAGCAGTTGAAAATGCCTGCAAAAAAAGATGAATATTGATTTCCACTCCTGAAAATCTGCATCTCCACATGGTTAGAAACACAAGACAATGACTAAGGGACACGGATTCTCTCAGAGTATACCACAGATCACAGTTACAGAGTATTTTTGGTTTTAAAGCTTTTGCTAAAAATATTTTACATCACTAAATGTATATTATTAAAGGTACATTGAAAGCTAATTGAAGTGACTTAAATAAGAAGACTCAGGAAGAGTTTGTAACAAAAATTGCTAAAGCCCCGTTAACTTTTTCCCTCAAGAAAGGCAAGTGAGGTAGTTGACACTGTATATACATTGTAAAGGATTGATACTCCAGTTTGCTCAAAGATCATTGACTCCAAGAATCTTATTCCCAAGTGAGCTGTTCAACAAAGGGATGCTTTTTCACAGAATGAAGGAATTTTCACAGAATGCTGATGGGTTCCTATAGCACTTACCTAGGAGTCGGCTCTAGGATTTTTTCTAAATTTAAAGTGTTCCTAAAAATGTTAGCTTCCTCTGAAACTTTTCTGAAAGAAAAATTTTCCCCAGTGGCCCCCAAGAGCACTAGGGATGGGTGAGGGTGAGGAGTTTTTAAGAACAGTACGTAGGCCACTGTTTTACTAAATTCTATTGTGGCCATATGCTCTTTGAGCTGTAGCTGCCACCATGTTTTCTAAGCTTTGGTCCCCTCTCCTACCTTGGAGAGGGAACTTTCCTTTCTCTTTCTTTCTAATTTACTTTCTAAACAAGCTATAATTTCCAATCTAAAAAATAATAATAATAGTAATATGTAGAAGTCTGCTTTTCTTTTGTTTGCAAATATATGATTCATTTTATGGACTGATAATTGAGCTTAAAAAAACTCTTAATAAGGCAATAATTCTTTCAATACTTAGGTGACAGTCATTTATGAATTTTAATTGGGGTTTTTTAATCTAAGAATAAAATTATAAAAAGCCTCTTTAACCACCACACAAATATTAGTCTGTGTATCTACTAAAAATTTGTCTCTAGTCAATTAGTTCACCATCTGATTAAGAATAAAAGTTACAGCCAATGATATTGGGATTGACATGGCCTTCCTACTATATAGTTACTTGAAATTTGTCACACATTCTTGAATAAACTGAAGTGATTAATGTAGTTTATTGACTCAGCTAAGTCTTTGCCATCTAAAATCTCCAAAAAATGGATAAAAAACTGTATTTCACCTCTCATCTATTAGGCATTTACTTGAAACTGGTGACAAGTTGTGGTAAATCTTAAAACCTTTAGCAATTATGCATAGGTTCTAATGTGTTTTCAGTCAACATAAATGAAAATTCCCAAATAAAACATTAAATGAACAAACTTGTGAATTTTCTATAGAAACACAACAAAATTTATCTGAGAGGAAATACAATGAGAAAAACCAACAAGTGTTGACATACACACAGAAATGTAAAGTAGCTACTTGAAGAATTTTTTCCTTATGTGGGCATACGATACTGCCTACTTGTCTTTGGGACTTGGCAACTACATAAAATAAAATGTTTATTCCTGTTGTTTGAATTGCAAAAAGGATAAAAGCACTTGTTTTTTCAGACTCTGGAAATCCATTACATAAACTCAGACACCACCAATTAGCCATACACGAAAAACAAATGAAATATAGGAATAAATGCCAACCTATAGAAGACATGTTTCCTTGTCATGGGTTTTCCGGGGGAAAAAAAATCAAATAAACAAATTAAATGAATGAATCTTTGTGATTTCTATAAAAATAAAATCTCAAAGGCCAGGGATGCAATTATCTACATGTTGAATACAAGCAATGTTTTGTATAGACATCAAGGCATAATATAGCATATAAATGATTGCTTCTACATATGGGCTTAAAATATGATCACATTAAGTTCTGAGACTTGGTAAGTAGACAAAAATGTTTTCTGCATTTGTGAGTAACTTTGTCTATCATTTGAACTGCAAGAGGGAGTGATCTGGGCCTTAAATGTCATTAAAACTGATATAAATTCACCTCAATCTGTGGATTCCAAGACAAAGTTAGCTGGGCTAAATGAGAAATCTATCCTCATTTCTAGCTCACTCAAGGACTGTGTCTGAGATCTCAAGAGAAAAGATCAAGTTGTCCAGCCCTCAGCACATGTGAGATCTGCTCTAAATTAGAAACGTGGGCAACTATACGTTCTGGCCAGCTGCAGGTCTGGAAAACAGCTCTGCAAGGTCTTGACAGTTTTTGGCTTACCGAACACATCTGATTTGAAAACCTGATGCTAACCCACAGTGCGTGGCCATGTTCATGATGAATGGACAAAGGCAAATCTGCTTTTATATCTTATAAAACTTGGATATAACAATATTCTTCAGCACTCTTGGATAAAAGTAGTTCTGCATTTTAAAACTGGGGCTGCAGAAGTGATTATCTGCAGTTGTGACATATAGAAAATGATAGATCTTATCAGAAAAGGAAATCTGTGCCTGGCACATGGAAAGATTCATTGAGCACCATCATCACAATGAGAAAATAGAGGCATTATGAATGTTAACTACAAAGAAGGTTAGGAAAGCCTAAGACACCCTTTGTCAAACTAAGCTTCACTATAGGGGAACCTGTGCTCATAAGATACCAGTTTTCCACAGACAATGACAGAGAAGTTCATCTGCACCAGAATGCTGATAGTTATAATACAGTATGGTGTACATAACGATATGAATGACATGGTTTTCTTTAAGCAGTAGTTCTTCCTCCTCCAATTCAGGAGCGAGTCAGAGCATAAATATTTTATGTTTCACTTTAGAAACTGATTCGCTTTGATAAGCAGTCTGGATTATTTTTCAGGGAAGAAATTAAGGCGATTTCTGGCATTTTTGCTCAAAGAGGTCAATACGTGTATATAAGTATAAAAAAGGATCTCTTCCACTTCTTGTGTTTGGTAGCACTGGCTACGTAAAGAAGTGTTACTTATCCCCAGATAAATGGCCAAGTTCATTTCTGCTATGAAGTCAAAATATTAGAAATGATTCGCATTCTGTAATCTAGGTTGGCCTTTCTTCTGGAAGCACTACATCCTCTTTCCTCTCCTTTAACTAAAGAAATGTCACGAGAAAGCTTTAGTTGACATGGTAAACCAGCTCCTCTTCTGTAGTTCCTGTTGACAATGCCACCACTCAGGGCTGGAAACACCAAGAGGGTTATAGGAACAAACATGTCAAAAGTAGTGTTGTTTTTTCCTCATCAAATGTAGGACCTTCTTGGCATATAATACATGATAGCAGCCATCTTGAGGGTATTTCAAGAACTTGACTGGGGTTTAATCACCCATTCTGCTTGAGGATTTACATGATATACATCCAATATATATGCATCTGGATCCAAGCAATGCTGTCCTAAAAGAAAATCAAAGGATATTTACAATTTAAAGTTTCTTAACAAAGTCTTCCTCCCACTCCTCCTTCCTTCCTGCCTATCTGCCTTGTTCTTTCTTTCCTAAGGCTATAAAGTATAGGTACTTCAAATAAATCTCATGTGAAACTATAAACACACACAGACACACACACAACAACAACCACAGGCAAATTGTTCCCCAACTTCCCCATGTCAATCAGAAAAATATGGCAAGAACTTGTCTCAGGTAGGAACTCATCATTTATATGGTAATACATGTTCTCAAATGGTTTTACAGATAGGAACTTGACCAGGGCAAGGAAAAAATCATTTTGCTTCTTTACAATGGATGTAAAGCCTATAGGCAGGAGATGTGGAAACTGTAACAACAAAATGATCATTCCATGGGGCAAATAGAGTTGAGAGTCTTTATGTGCAACACACTTGAAATAGATACCAAAGTCTCAAACAAAACTACCGGGACCTACTTTCTTGAATCATTCGTCAAATATTTATTGTACATTATTTTGGCCAGGCACTATTTTAGGGGCTGAGGCTATAGCAGTGTATCACAGTCAAAAACATACCAAAAGCAGCATAAGGCAACACACAAATAAACAAGTATAATATAAAGCTCTAGGGTAAGAAGACCATTAGGAAGAAATAAAGTGTATTGTAAGGTATGTAAGTGAGGGACAAGCCAAGTAAGGTCTCACTGAGATGACATGTGGGCAAAGACCAGGAAGAGGCGGGGAAGTGAGATGTGAAGTTATATGAAAGGAGAGCATTCTGGGAAAAAGAGCAAATGACATGAGACCAGGCCTGCCTGGTGACTGGATGTACTAGTTTGGTGTCTGAAGGGAAGTCTGGGATACAAGTTTCGGAGGCATAGATTATTTAAAGCAGCGAGTTGGATTGAGCCCCTAAGAAAGTTAAGTGTAAATAGAGAAGAGTTGCAAAGACTGAAGCCTACAGCTCTACATCCTTGATAGGCCAAGTGGACAAGAAGTAACAGGCAAAAGAGACTCTAATGGAAAGGCAGAAGCTTAGGGCGCCCTCAAAATCAAGTGAAGAAAGTGTTTTTCAGAGAAGGGAGAGATCAACTCAGGCACTTACAAAGGCAGACAGAACAGCTGGATTTCACACTCTAAGAGCTGTCTGGTGGCGCTTGGCTGGAGTGGTTTCAAGGGAGGACAAGAAGGGAGGGTGGGGGAAAAAGGGGGCGTGTAGACAAGTGATTTGAGGAGTTTCTGTTGTAAAGTGGAACAAAGACATGGGAGTAGAACTGAAGGGCGTCAAGAGAGTTTTAAAGATGAGAGAATGAGCAACATTTTCTGTGCAGACAGAAACGCTGCAGTTGGGAAGGAAAGGTTGCTGATGTGGGAGAGAGCGAAGATGGGAAGGAGCAAGGCCCTGAGGGGAGGCTGCTGGCCCTGGCAGGAGGCCGAGTGGAGGCCCCGGCTCTCACTGGGAGCACGGAGAGCACGTGTGGCTGTGAGGATATCCACGGATGCAAGTGGAGGGAATTTTATTATTTTTATTTTTTATTTTTTTGAGTTGGAGTCTCACTCTGTCGGCCAGACTGGAGTGCAGTGGCTGCTCCTGGTCACCGCAGCCTCGACCTGCTGGGCTCCGGCGATCCTTCCACCTCACACTTCCAAGTCGCTGGAACTACAGGCGCGTGCTACCACGCCCGACTCATTTTTTTGATTCATTGTAGAGATGAGGTCTCACCAAGTTGCCCAGGCGGGTCTCGAACCCGCAGACTCAGGCAATCCATTCACCTCAACCTCCCAAGGCGCGGGAGGCTGAGCCACCAAGCACGACTGGGAATTTTATTTTGATTCCTCCTCACCCCCCAGGGAAATAGGAAGAACAAATAGGAGAGTGAAAATAGGAAAGTTAAACAAAAAAGGGGTCATGCTCCTAAGGGTTCTCAGAATATTCTCGGCTTTGTTTTACATGCTTCTCCAGAAAGACTTTCTACCTTTTGGGGTCACACTGAAAAGACTCCATTATCAACACTCAAATATGCTCATTCAAATTCTGAAAATGTTTTAGAAAATCTTACAACCCTTCTTACATTCCTTTTAGACTAATCAGATAATTTAGGGGCAGAAATAATTACAGAATGCTTACCTATATTTCCTCCAATTTCATATAACCTTTGGTTCTGAATCTTAATACCCGATGAACCATGACTGAAAAAAAACGAGAGTAATATAATCTTAACCCTCTTTCATGATCTGAAGTAAATTTGCATATTAAACAACCAGGTAATACACAATTCATTCTGCCTTGATGAAACACATGCCACAGACCTTTATGGCAGCTGTAGTTATGATACAAAACAACTGTTTTTTTCCTGACACAAGTAAGGAGCTGAGGTCTCCACAACATAGGACCCATTCAGGCCACAGCTGCCTGCTCTGTATTATGGAGGTGACTGTCACCAACACATCAAGTTGGCCAAGGAGTGGCTTGTGTCTACACTGCCTTGTCATTGGCCACATTTCTCTCAGCTCAAAGAAGTCAGGTTTCGTTTCTATGTTTACCAAAGATTGAATGGAATTCTCTCCTCAGCCATGTCATGTGTCTAAGCTTGCCTAATGCTTTGCAAACATTCAAAGGTTGAGTTCACTGAAAGTCTCTGCACTATTAATAAAAGGAAGTCAGCGAAAACTATTGCCCAATTTAATTTTTTCCACTCAAGATTAGAATGCTGGGATAAGAAGAGTCTGAAAGACCACTGTTGATGTCTATCTCAATTCAGGAATGACGTCCGCTTCTTATGCTCAAAGACTGTCCTGTCTCTCCACTGTGAGGAAGAGGCATGTGAACCCTGCTTTTTTAGTTCAAATTTTTATTTGAAGTAACTATAGATCCACATGAAGTTGTAAAAAATAATACATGCAGATCCTGAGTACTCTTTACCTATTTTCTCTCAATAGTAACATCTTGCAAAACTTGAATGCAGTGTCATGACCGGAAAACCTCCAGCTCCCTGCTGTTACCTTTTTTTTAAGTTGGAGTCTCACTCTGTTGCCCAGGCTGGAGTTCAGTGGTACATTCACAGCCACCCCAGTGTCGACCTGCTGGGCTCTGGCGATCCTCCCACCTCAGCTCTCCAAGTAGCCAGAACTACAGGTGCATGCTACCACACTCGGCTAATTTTTGATTTATTGTAGAGATGAGGTCTCACCAAGTAGCCTGGGCTGATCTCGAACCCACGGGCTCAGGCAATTCACTCACCTCAGCCTCCCAAAGCACTGGGGTTACAGGCTGAGCCACCGAGCCTGGCCCGCTGTTGCTTTTATAGTCACACTTGCCTTCTCCCCATTCTACCTGTCCCATCCCTTGCTGTGGCAACCGCCACCCTCTTTCTATATATTTGCCATTTCAAAATGTTATACAAATGGAAACACAAGAAGTTGGCACCTTTCTATACTGGCTTTTTCCCCACTCGGCGTAAACCCCTAGAGATTCACCCAAGCTGCTGCATTTTTATTGCTGAGAAGTATTGTATGATATGAATCAAATAGATGAGTTAGTTTGTGGAGTCATTCACCTCTTGAAGGACATCTGGTTTGTTTCCAGCTTTTGCCCATATAAATAAAGCTGCTACAAGCATCTGTGTACCGGTTTTGTGTGAATATAGTCTTCACTTCTTTGTGTGAATGCTGAATCACATGGTAATTGAAGATTTGGTTTTATAAGAAACTGCCAAACTATTTTATGGAGTGATTGTATCATTTTACAATCCCACCAGCCATGTATGCATTATATTTCTGTCGGTACTTGGTCTTGCCACTATTTTTTATTTTAGTCATTCTTATAGGTATATAGTGGTAAGTCATGTCATTGTGGTTTTAATTTGCATGTCCCTAAAGCCAAAGATGAACATCTTTTTATGTGCCTATTTGTCATCAGCTTATCTCTTTGGTGAAATGTCACTTGAGTGTCTTTTTGGTAAAATGTCTGTTCATGTCTTCTGTGCATTTCAAGTTGGATTTCTTTATTTTACTGTGAGCAATGTATCGATATATTCTAGATACTAGTCCTTTGTTGGGTATGTGATTTGCAACTACTTTCTCCCACTTTAGTCTTTAGCGTGTCTTTTCATCCTATTCACAGTGTCTTACAGAATGTAAGTTTTCAATTTTGATGAGGTCTAATTTATTGATTTTATTTAGTATGGACCATGCTTCTGGTGCCAAGTTCTAAGAATGCTTCATTAGTCCTAAATCACAAAGCTTTTCTCCTGTTATTAAAAAAAACTGGAGGCAACTCCTTAGGGTCCCCTCCCACCGTGGAAGCTTTTCTGTTCTCTCAATAAATCCTGCTTTCTCACAACCACCACCACCACCACAACAACAACAAACTATATACTTTTACACTTTACATTTAAGCGGGTGGTCCATTTTGAGTTAATTTTTGTACAGGTGTGAGATTTAGATTGAGGTGTACTCATTTATTTTCTTGTCTATGGCTGTCCAATTGCCACAGCACCATTTATTGAAAAGACAGTCCTTCCTCCACTGAATTGCATTTGTGCAGAATCAGTTGCTAGGATAAATTATAAAAGAAGAAGAGTGGTTAGCAGTGGCTAGGGGAAGGGAAAAACTGGTACAGAGTTTCAGTAAGGGATAATAAAGTTCTGAAGATGAATGGTGGTGATGGTTACACAACAATGTGAATGTACTTAATGCCACTTAAATACTTTAAAGAACTGTACCCTTAAAATGGCTAAAACTTAATTTTACGTTATATATAGTTTATAATAAAAAATTTAAAAAATCAGTTGGGCATATTTGTATAGGCCAATTCTGAGTTCTCTGTTCTGTTCCATTGATTCAAGTGTTTATCCCTCTACCAACAGCACACTATCTTGATTACTGTAGCTATGTAGCTGGTCTTAATGTCTAGTAAAGTGGTTTTTTCCTACTTTATTGTTTTAGTTATTCTAGGGGCCACACCTTTCCATATAAAGTTTTGGAATACGCTTGTTGGAATATGCTTGTGCCTATTCTATTTACCAAATATCTTGCTGGAATTTTGATCGGAATTGGATTTAACCTTAGGTAAATTGGAGGAAACCCACATCTTTACTAAGCTATCTTCTAGTCCATAAAAATGGTGATGTCTCTCCATCTCTTTAGATCTTATTTGGCTTCTTTCATCAGCATTTTGTAATTTTCAATATATAGATCCTAGACATGTTTACTTACCTAAGTATTCATTTTAGAGCAGCTGTTAATGATATAACACTTTTACTTTTGGTTTTGCATTTGGTTTCCACATGTTCAAATGTGACTGATTTTTTTGTGTGCTGATCTTATATGCTATGACCCAGCTGAACTAATTTATTAGCTATAGATCTTTTAAATACATTTTTATTTTAGATTTTGTATGTAAACCACTAGATCATTTGCAAATTGTTTTACAATCTGTATGCCTTTTATTTTATTTGTCTTTCTTGTCTTAATATAGTGGCTTAATCTTCCAGTAGTATGTTGAATGAGACTGATAAAATTGGATATCCTTTTTCTTGCTTAGAGGGAAAGCATTCAATCTCTCATCATTAAATATGATGTTAGTTGTAGCTTTTTGTTGACAATCTCTATCTAGTTGAGCAAGTTCTCTTTTCCTAGTTTTCTGAGTTAAAAAAAAAAATCATAAGTAGGTGTTGGATTTTGTCAAAGAGTTTTTTTCTGTATTAACTGATATGATTATATAATTTTCTCCTACTGCTATTATAAATTACATTGGTTGATTTTTTTTTTTTTTTTTTTTGAGTTGGAGTCTCACTCTGTCACCCAGACTGGAGTGCAGTGGTCGCTCCCGGCCACAGCAGCCTCGACCTGCTGGGCTCCGGTGATCCTTCCGCCTCAGCCTTCCAAGTAGCTGGAACTACAGGCGCGCACTACCACGCCCGGCTGATTTTTTGATTTATTGTAGAGATGAGGTCTTGCCTGCCCAGGCGGGTTTCGAACCTGCGGGCTCAGGCAATCCACTCACCTCAGCCTCCCAAAGGCGCAGGATTACAGGCTGAGCCACCGAGCCCGACACATTGGTTGATTTTTGAATATTACTTTGCATACCTGAAATATATCCCACTTGATCATAGTATATAATTCTTTTAATACATACTGGATTACATTTGCTATTTTGCTGAGAATATTTGTGTCTAAATTTTTAAGAGGTAATGGTCTGTAGGGGTTTTTGATTTTTTATACTGCCTTTGTATGGTTTTGGCATCAGGGTAATAAAACTAGTTTCATTAAATGATTTGGAGATATTCCTTTCTATTTTCTGGAAAATATTGTGCTAAATTGGTGTGAATTCTTTAAATATTTGCTAGAATTCTCCAGTGAAACCATCTGGGCTTGAAGATTTCTTTTTTAGAAACTTAAAAATTATATACTCAGTTTCTTTAATAACTATAGGACTGTTCAGGTTGTCAATTTCATCTTGATTTTATTTTGGCAATCAGTCGTTTATGAGGAATTTTTCTGATTATTCTACATTTTTGAAATTATGAGCAAAAAGTTGTTTATAGTATTTATTATCCTTTTAATAGAAGCACTATATTAGTGATATCCTGTTTTATTCTTGACATTGGTGATTTGTGTCATTTCTTTTTTATTTTTGTCAGACTTCCTATGTTATCAATTTTGTTGTTTTTTAAAAAAGAACCAACATTTTGTTTCATTAATCTTCTCTATCATTTTCCTGTCTTCAGTGTCATTTATTTCTGATTATCTTTATCATTTCCTTCCTTCTGCTTACTTTAGATTTATCTTGCTCTTATTTTTCTAGTTTCTAAAGGTAGAAACTTAAAGATGATTGATAAGGGATCTCTCCCTCTTTTCTAACTTAAGCATTTACTGCTATAAAGTGTTCTCTCACCACTGCTTTAGATTCATCCCACATAATTTTATATGTTGTAGTTTTATTTTCATTCTATGTAATTTTTTGGCTTTGTTTTTTATTAAGTTAATTTGCACAATTGTGAAAATCAATGTGTTTAGAGTGCATAATGATAATCAAAATATAGAATATTCAGAGAAAAAAATGCATATGCCATCAAAGTAAAGACTCAGATTTCCTTTCTAATATAAAGCACTAGGCACAAAAATAAAAACTACAACATTTATTAATCAATGTAAACATCCGAGCCAGGCTCAGTGGCTGAGCCTGT